ACATGGATCCATTAAGCATCTTCAGATTGTTGGATGTCCCAAGCTCAAGTTCTTACCAGAGTATCAAATTCCTGCAAGCCTTCGATTCCTTGAGGTGAGCAGGTCTTCCTTGCTGATAAATTGGTGCCACAAAAATCTCGGCAAGTTGCTGCATGTCCAAAAAATACGAGGTATGTTTACGATATACTTTACTTCGAATAATCTACTTGAACAATATGTCAACAATCACTCTGTGCCTGTTAATTCTCTTTCCAGTTAGCTCCCCTTCTCTTTTCATAACTTTTGGTGCTACAAGAAATCCAATTCTTTTCTTCATGCTCGGTCTATTCTCAACCACCCCCTCTAATACACACATGCTAATGCTCAAGTGTGGCATGGATAATTGGTTTTGGCTACTTCTAGTATAGTTTTAGTAAGATATGATTTGAGGTACTAACTTATAAGGGCTTCTTTAGCTTCTCGACTTGAAGAGAATGTAATAAGCTTTGCTTTCCAAATTCTTATAGTTGATGTAAATCTAAATTACATGTAGTCTTCTTTTACCTGAAATTACAAAATATAATGTCTTAGACTGTCTTCAACAACAATCTTGGCCATCCATCTTTTCAGAAATAAAATGATGTACAGAAGCATGTACAGGACTAGATGAACACAAACATAGAAAGTCCCCACAGCTATTGGAGGATACCAGGCCATGAATTCTCCGTTGTGCTGGTTAGGTCCAGCATAAATTATTTCTATTGCTCTTGACATCAGTTTTTTTGGGAATAAAGTGGATCGCTCCACCTTTATTATAATCTTGACATTGGTTGCCTTCAATATTAGAAGACTTATTTAGTCTAAAAATCCTAATCACCTAAGGAGCAATTATGAACCTTGAAGCTCTTCCAATTGGAGGAACTTATTTTTGCTTGGGTAATGCACAATTGGCGTTCAGCTTATTTTTGTTGTGTCTAAATACACAGTGAGAGTAGTACTGGTCTGCTCATAGCCTCATACTATCAAGATTACCAATGTCACAACTCCGAAATGATAAATATGTACTTTGAATATGCATATCAGCACTATGTTACTAGAAATGTATAGCTTTTGTGTTCTTGTTCCTGATAAACATATGTAAAATTTTAAATTGTATATGCTAAAATAAAGTGAGTTATGTAATGTGACCATGGGAGTTAATATGATTCTGCTAAACTTGAAATTCACTTGGTCTCGAAAATAAAATATGGGAAAGGCCTTGCACATGTTTATCATATGGCACAAAGAAGTCTTGAAAAGATAAGGTTTGTACATGTGATACATAATTACGGTGGTTGAGAAAAATGACAAATAATGAGCAACAACATTTCATAAGATTGTGATTGCCTGGTCGATTAGAAAAGTTAAGCTTCATTGAACAACCAAACTGTACGATTACTTGAAATGTTGTGTTGGAAATGTGATAATTGAGATGTCTTATCATGGGTTTGATTGTCACGAATTTTAGATGTTCAACTGGGAACCAAACTATAGATGAAGTGACTCGGTAGTTTCACTTGGCTGTTTGCCAAACTCACTTCTTTCCCTTCTTTGCTTTCGATTTGGCAGTTTGCCAAACTCACTTCTGGTAGTTTGACTATGTGTAACAGTCTTTTTTTAGGATTAATCTTTGTTCCTGGATTCTATTATATTTTATGATATCGAGCTAATGAACAAATTAATATGCTTCTGCATTATAAAGAGAATTTGTTCTTCCAGAAAAGATGTCCTCAAGGTTTTGAAATGTTCTTCTTCTTTCCTGGTTTTTCTCTATAGGATTGGACTCAATGGAGGTAATACTAAATGATATTTTTACTGTTGAAGAGGCAAGAAATGCTTGTTTGAACAGACAACGCATATACATGTTGCATTTGGAATGGGAACCTTCTCTGGATTCCACAGGTTGTACATATGATGAGGCTAATGAAGTGCTTGAGTGCCTTCAGCCAAATGCCACCCTGAACAGACTTGCTATAAGAGGTTACAATGGTTCGAGTTTTGCTGGTTGGCTTTCCAGTCCTTCCTTCTCCAATCTAGTAAACATAAGACTAGAGTCCTGCCCTGAATGCATGGTTCTCCCTGCTCTAGGCCAACTGCAATACCTCATGGAACTATACCTAGAGAGATTGCATGGAATAAAATCTATTGGCCTTGAGTTTTATGGGAATGACACAACGAAGGGTTTTCCGTCGCTGAGAAGGCTTGAACTGATGAGCATGGCTGGTCTGGAGGTATGGCAGGGAGCATCAGATGGTGAATTTCCTACCCTTCGACAGCTTATAGTAAGAGATTGTATCAAGCTGAGGGGCTTGCCATGTCTCTCACCTTCCGTTCAGGAAATAAAAGTTGAAAATTGTCCTGAGCTGATTTTGGACCTATCATCCAACCTGAGCTCACTACTCAATTTGCATGTTTCCAACATTTCAGTGATGAAGGAATTGCGCAAACTCTCTTACCTCTCAGTGCTTGTTGTCGAGAAATGCATGAGCGATACTCTTGCCGAGCTTCCAACCCTCCGTGACCTGGTGGTGAGTGGATGCAATGAGAGGATGTTGCTTGATTCATTACCAGGTCTAACTGCTCTCACCACCTTAAAGATTTCATGCCTCACAAACTTGGAATCCCTACCATTGCATAATTTTAGAATACTTGAAGAACTTGTTATTTCAGAGTGCCCAAAGCTCATCTCTATTGAATGTTTCTCGACCTTTTCTTATGAGCCCTATTATGTAGATGGTCTACTGTCACTTTCATTTTTGAAACACATGACTATTACTGCTTGCCCTGAACTCTACTTCTCTGCAAGTGAACAGCTGCCTCCCACACTTCAATCTATTAGGATCTCTGGCTGCCGCTTGCTGAGAATATGGTACCAAAGATATTCAAGCAGGTTCGATGTAAGTGGCATCGTTTTTGATGATTAGTGCTGAATTGGAACAGGAAAATTTGACTGGCCAAAAGATTTGGATACAAAGGGAAAAGTTTGGTGTTATTTCTAGAGAATAAGAAAAGGGCGGATGGCAGCTACCACGTTACACTTCACTGAATCATATATACTGCTGATCTTCCTGGGCTATTGAGATGATGAAGACATACTGAATTGAGCATCCATCAGTCAAAGGTTAATTTACTAAATTATACTGGTTAATGTGAGCTAAAAGCCTCTTGAAACTGGAGGACCTGCTTATAATACCGGCTGCATGTGAACAATGTGGATGGCAGTTTAGAGGGGAGGCAAAAGTTTTCATTTGACAATGATTTATCATGGTAAACTCATGTTGTCTATAAAAACTATGTCATGATCTTAACTTATTTTGGTGATCAGTCGAATGACAAGAACATCGGAGCTAAAAAATCGAATTGTCTTAAAATGTTGTTTCTGGTAATAAAAACCAAGAAGCAAATTACAATATATTTTTTTTCTTTATCGAATATATGCTCTTTGATGTTCTCTCACATCATGGAACTGGAACCATCTTTATCTCAAATGTATTACCTTTGTGTAAAGTGAGTCTGAAATGCCTGCAAGTGTACTAATTTTGTTTTCTTTTGCTGGCAGATCCTTCAACACTTTACAGGATTCAAAGATTAATGAAGTGCAGAGAGGATTCGAAATGTTGTTTCAGTTTTTGTTTTCTTGGAACAATGTTTACATTCAGAATCTGTGAAGACATTGTAATGGAATGTGAGATGCCAAATAAAACACTAGTATTTGTAGGTTCATCATCCTATGGATCTTTTAACTTGTCTCCATCAAATGAAATGTTTTTGTGCTTTATAATTGTCATGAGCAAATTTGTTTAACTCATATGTTATTTTCGAATATACAGCAAACAAAGTTTTAGTCTAATAAATTCTACTGGTACAAATTGGGATATATATGATGATAAAGAGGGAGAAATCAGAATATAATTACTCCCAAAGAGAATGGCTTATATGCATAGTCATTTTCCAATATCCAAAGAGCAAAAAGAGCTAAAATAATATTAGTCTTAAAGATGAGGGCTTATGTGAAAAAAAAATCAAATTGGGTGAAAACAAATATAACGCTTTTAATACCAAGAGGAGGACTTATATGCTAAACAGAAGGAGAACCGAAATATAAATAGTCCAATGACGAGGTCTCATATGAAAAATAACATGGTGGTTTTGCGAGAAGCAGAAGGACCACAGTATAATTACTTACAAGAACGAGGGCTCAATTGCAAACAAACACGATGAGTTATCCGATTGGGCATTGCATAGGCCCAGGCTCAACCATTAAGTCTAATAGAAAACCCAAGACCAGGAGACGGCCCATCAACCCATTATTCTCAGAGAGAGAGGAGAGAGAGACGACGGCGACGGCGACGACGACGACGACGATGGTGGGAGATTGCGCAGGGCGTTCGAGAGCGAAACCCTATTCCTCTTTCCCGATTTCTTGTTCTTGAGTTCTTGATGGATGGGATCGATCGGTTCTACGGTATATTGCGGAATCCATGGAAGCCCGTGATGGGGAGAGGGCCGGGAGCCGTCTTCGTCAACCTGGTCGTGAAACCGGACAAGAAGCTCAAGGAGGACGTCGCGAAACCCTAACCTTCTTTCCCGATTTGTTGTTCTTGAGTTCTTGATGGGTGGGTTCCATCGGTTCTACGGTACATTGCAGAATCCATGGAAGCACGTGCTGGGGACGCGGCCGGGGCTCGTCTTCGTCAACCAGTTCGTAAAACCGGACGAGACGCTCGACAAGGCCATGGCCACCGACTTCGGTCCGTTTCTTGCACCTGTCCCGTCCCCTTTTAGCCTTCTTTCTCCGATTAATTCACTGGCTTGAAGCGTCGAATCTGAAAACCTAATTGTAGATTCCACCGGAGCGTTCTTGATGGCAGTTTCAGGCGTAAATCGGTGGGTGGCTGAGCACGGCGCAAAGTTGCTTTGGAGATCTTATCGATCGATTCTTGGAATTGCTGATGAAGTCACTCGAGTTAATCGAGGTTCGTTTCGCAAATTCCTGTTCTATAGTATTACAAACAATGTGTTATGCACGGTAAAAGATTGGAAGATTAATGCTTGTAGTGGTTCTCAACCAAAACAACTCATCATCATCGTCATCTAATTCCTCATCAGAATGTTTAGACTGCAGTTTTCTTTCCAGAGCCCGCCCTGTGAATCTTCAGCGAAATGCGGAGCAGCCGATCCGAGACGTGCCGCGAGCTGGGCCGCTCGGCGGGAGTCGTCCTGGTGCATTGCAAGGCCACATCCAGCACATCGTACATGGACGACTCCCCGTGCGATGCCAGCAGCCTCAGAGCAGGATCCAGCAACTCCTCCCGCTCCGCCACCGACGACGAAGACGCCGACGCAACTCGAGACTGCACCCACCTCACCATATCCATGTCTCCTCCGAAGGTACGATCCGTCGGCATCAACCCGCTCACGAGCTCCATGAGAACTATGCCCATGCTATACACATCGCTCTTCTCTGTCGCCTTCAGGGAGTACGCATATTCTGCACATATAGCAGCAATGGAAGTTTAGTCGATGCAACAGTGACCGTGGTGGCCAGGTATTCGACAAAATACCTGGAGCCATGTAGCCATATGATCCGGCGAAGCAGGAGCCAGTCTCGGTGCCGTCCGTGACCGCCTTGGCCAGCCCGAAGTCTCCGAGATGCGCCTCCATGTCGCCGTCTAGCAGCACATTGCCGGACTTGATGTCCCTGTGAACGATCCTCGGAACGCAGTCATGGTGCAGGTACTCCACTCCTTTGGCGAGGCCGATCGCAATCTTCAACCTGGCCTCCCAATTCAGCTCTCGCTTCCTCTTCTGGCTCACTCCGGGCTTGTGCAGCCAATCCCACAAGCTGCCATTCTCCATGTACTCGTACACCAACAGATGCTCCCCGTCGTTGCTGCTGAGGAACCCCAGCAGCTTCACAAAGTGCCGGTGCCTGATCCGGCCTAGTATTTTCACCTCTCTCACGAAGCTCTTGTCCTGCAACAGAGATTCCCTGTGCTGGTGCAGAATCTTCTTCACGGCCACTGTCTCGCCGGACGGCAATTCGGCTCTGTAGACGGTGCCCGACCCGCCTGAGCCGATGACGAACTCGTCGCTCAGGTTGCACGTTGCTTCCATGATTGCGTCCCATTTTAGCTCCCGCCTCCGGGACCCCTTCATGATCAGTTCTCTGTGAGCCTGCGAAGAACTCCTCGAGGAGTACGTGCAATTGACCTCAATTGTTCTCTTCGTACACCACCTTCTGATCCATATCACCGCGGCGATCAGGAGGAGAATGATCACCAGCGTCACGGAGGCAGAGATCGCGGCTACAGCCGCAGAGCTTGACGTGGAGCGGTGGTGGGCGGACCGCGCAACGCCGCACGGTGGGAGAGGATACCCGCAGAGTGCAAGGTTGGCGGCGAAGGACTGCGGCGGCCAGCGGGCGAATCGCTCATCCAGTTGCCCCTGCAGATTGTTGTGCGAGAGGTCGAGCTCCACCAAGCTGCTCATTTCACCTATTTGTCGCGGTACCTCTCCCGCCAGCGAATTGTGGGAGAGGTTGAGATCTTCGAGCTTAGCAAGCGACGCCAGGGACGATGGAATCTCACCGCTGAGGTCGTTGAAGCTGAGGTCCAACGCACTCTGTAGCTCCTGCAGTTGTCCGAGCTCCATCAGGATCGGCCCCGAGAACAGATTGTGCGACAACCGGAGGTCATAAAGCTTGCTTAGCCTCCCTATGGAAGCAGGGATTCCTCCAGAAAGCTGGTTGCGAGCAAAGTCGAGTACATTCAGAGACGCAAGCTTGCCGACTTCGCTCGGGAGCGAACCATTCAATGAGTTATCATCGAGAGACAGCTTCAGTAGCTTGGAGCAATTGAAGAGCTCGATAGGAAGAGGCCCAAAGAATCTGTTCGAAGAGAGCTTGAGCTCCCCCAGCTGCGGCAAGCTTCCGACCCACGTCGGGATGACTCCGGTGAGCTGGTTATTGTTCAGAACAATGTGGGTGAGATTCTTGCATGACGCCAGTTCCTCCGGTATCACTCCGGTCAGCGAATTGCTCGACAGATCCAAAAGCGAGAGAGCGCCGATTTCTCCGAGCATCGGCGGGATCTCGCCTGCCAGCCGGTTGCTCCCGAGTCGAATCCTCTCGAGCGCCGGCGAGTTCCCAAGCTGCGCCGGAATCTCGAGGTTGAATGAGTTGTTGGTGAGATCGAACGACAGGAGCGAGCTCGATCCGCATAACGGGAGGATGCTTCCGTTGAACCGGTTGTTGGACAGGTTCACTCTGGTGATGTTCCGGCAATCGAACATCTCTTCCGGGATGCTTCCTTCGAGCGAATTGTTGTACAGCATGAGCTGCTGGAGCGATTGCAGGAGACCTAAGGTCGCAGGAATCCCGCCAGAGAGCCGGTTGTCGGCCAAGTCGAGAATCGTGAGCTGCCGGCACCTTCCCAATGACGCGGGGATCTCACCGGAGAGGTCGTTCTGCCTCAGGTGCACGAAACTCAGCTGCTCCAGCCGCCCGATCGACGCCGGAATGCTGCCGGAAAACTGGTTCCCGTAGAAGTCGATCATTTGCAAGCTCGAACAGTTCCCGATCGCCGGCGGGATCTCGCCGGACAGCTGGTTCTCGTAGAGATAAAGTATCTGAAGCTGCTGCAACTTGCCGATCTCCTCCGGCAGTCCGCCTCGCAACTCATTGTGGTAGAGAGCCAGCGTCTGAAGGTTACTGAGGTTGCCGAATTCGCTAGGAATCGAACCCCAGAGGCTGTTGTTATTGAGCAAGAGATCAGTAAGATTGGCAAGCTCGCCGAGTTCGACGGGGATCGCGCCGGTGAAGCTGTTGTTCGCCAAATCCAATTGCGTCAAGGACCGGCATTGGACTATGCTGGCTGGAATTCGACCGGTGAAGTTGTTGCCAGACAGGAACAAGTGCTCTAATTTCGTCGCATTCAGGCAGAGGTTCTCCGGCAGGTGGCCAGAGAGCTTATTGTTGGACAAGACTAGATAATTGAGTTCACTGAGTTGTCCGAGCTCAGTCGGGAGCTCGCCTTCGAGCTGGTTCATCGACAAGTCCAGATTGCGAAGGCCGGATAGTTTGCCGAGAGAACTTGTAATGGTCCCTTCGAGCTGGTTGGACATCAGGTTGAGGTAGGTGAGTTGGCTCAGCTCGCCGAGTTGACTCGGTATTTCTCCCCCGAGCAAATTGTCGGCCAGGTTTAGGATCTGGAGTTTATCCAAATTGCCGAGCTCCGGGGGGATCGGGCCGTCTAGCTGGTTCTGTTGGAGGACTAGGTTGTGGAGCTGAGTCAGCCGGCCGAGTCGACTCGGAATGGGGCCGGAGAGGTTGCAGAGGGCCAGGGCGAGGGTGGTCAGGTTCCGAAGGTCGCCGAACGAGCCCGGAATCGGCCCGGACAGGCCTGGGTTATCGCCGAGCCGGACGACTCGGAGGCCGGAGAGCGAGCCGAGTGAAGGGGGCATCGTGCCCGAGAGGCGGTTGGAATAGAGGAAGAGTGTGGTCAGAGCGGAAAGCCTGGCGAGCTGGCTCGGGATGGTACCTGTGAGGCGATTGGAGGACAGGTCGAGGGTGGCAAGTCGGCTCAGCCGGCCGAGGGAAGGGGAGAGGGAGCCGGCCAGGGACGAGGAGGAGAGGTTGAGCGCCACCACCCCGGAGTCCAGGTCGCAGGTGACACCAGTCCAAGAGCAGTGGTCCGGGTTATCCGAGCTCCAGTCGTCGAGCACCCGCCGCAGGTCCTCCGTGAACGATTTCTTCACCTCCAGAAGAACTTCCATGTCCACCGAGTCCAAGTGCCGGCCAAGAGCCAAAGGGGGCACGAAAGAGATGACGACCACCAGGAGAACAACCAGCATCAGCCTCTGGTACTTATCCATCTCTACACTTTAGTTACTGTCGTTATCTGAATAGAGCACTGATAGCAGCAGTAGTGGTAAGAAGAAGAAGAAGAAGAGGAGGAAGAAGGGTAGAGGAGGATGTTGGGTAGACTCATGCATGCATGCATGCATGGGATCAGGAATGCCGAGTGCCTGACAGGGGTGTTTTGAGTTGTTCTTGTCCTGTGGAGTTCTGCGTTGGGCTGCGTGTAGTTTGGGGAAATGGAGAGATTAAAGAGGAGAGAGAGATGGGTCTTGTGAGGCAACCTTAGCAAATGGCCTTT